GGGTTTATTTATTGTTAGTTACTGTAATGTTGCGCTGCTTTATTTGGTTAATCGTCCAGTCTGTGAAGAAAGCATTCAAGTAAGATTGCATTGTAGTATGACTCATTTCCTGGCGCGTACAATTTATATTAGGTCAGCGCTCACGGTTCGACTTCTGATATTCAGATCGAGTTCTAGATCAAACTGGTTTGTTCGACTTTCAAGAAATTCGAGTTCTAGTGAGTTTGAGAACCGCGAGGTACCACTGTACATGCATACTGGTACAGTCTCCTTGCAGCGGTCTCACACACATACATGCATATAGATAGTCATTATCTGAGGTGTCATTTCGGTAAATCAACAGGCATTATTTCAGAATCTCGCCCAGGAATGTCGGCTTTTCAGCTTTAATAACACAATTCATTTGAACAAGCAGAACAATGGCACCATTCAACAAACACATATCACAGGTCACTAGCACTTTAGATATCCCAATAACATATGCTATAAACTACACTGTCACAGCTTATAGAAAAAACTGGTCAGTGTATCAAACTAAATCAACAATCCAGAATTTTTACATTTCATAATCTTCTTATTATACACTCAGTTTTTAGCATTTGTGTCACCAGTCACATGGATGTTGCCATGACATTTTTAAGATACTGTTGATAGTATAAATACACATGGTTATGCATCAATTTTCTGCAGCTGTTCAATAACAGATCAGGATATAAATACAGGTTGAATAAAGAGGTCAGACACAAAATACTGGCATGCTGTATTCTCTTTCGGGCTTTGTGTCACAAAACATATGTGTTCTTTTACCGCCATCTAATGGTGAGAAACCACATGTCACGTTATGGGCAGCGCATCGTAACGTTATCCAGCAAACACGGCTTTCCTGTTCTGCTCTTCTTGTTTACTCTTGCTGTTACAGCCCTCTTGTTTCCTGTTGTTGAGTTTTCAGCTCCGTCTTCCACATTAAGGAAAGATCACGCGGAGTATTTCTTCACATATTATGGCTGTATTCTCTCTTTGTTCCTTTGCTTTTACATACAGTACCAACAACAC